TGATATTGATAAACTCGCCAGAAATTAACATAATATTATTTGAAGCGTTTTTAGAAAATGTTGACACCGCCATCTTGAAATCGTGTAGTAATGTTTGAACACAGTGATTATCGATCTTGACATTTTACAATTTGTTGCTCGGCGGAGATTTTCACCTAAAGACACATCAAATACAACATTGATTACCAATTTCGATGGTAAAATCATTTGTAAACGTCATGATTAATGGAATGTCAAAGTTTTGGCGTTGTTGATTTCGTAATGAAGAAAGTACTAATTTCTGAAGCTTTCTAAGATCTTGCCCCGGGAATTTTAGAACTATTTTAACAACGTCAGAGAGGTAGTGAAGGTACGCAACGAACGAAATGAATTTTGAGAATGGTACCCGAGCATGATTTTCGATTTGCTCTTCACCAGAGAGCCAGCCCCCAATCCACCTGATGAGGAACCATTGGTTTACTTGTGCAAATGCACCAACTGTAGAAATATGCCGACTGATGTCGAAAATCTTTGCTGTGGAAGAGAACGAGAGGACTGTTTGTCAACCAAAGCTGTGAGTTAATAATTTAATACACTGTTTAAATATACCACAACCTGCAGATATATAGGTAGACGATACCATTTTCAGTTTACATTTTCCACTTTTTTGCCAGATTTATTTCATTTTTTAGAACGTTTTCTTGACTTAAAAATTTAAGCATTTATGATTTCTCATTTTTTCGTGACTCACAATTCCCCCCCCCAAATGTCAATTTCTTGATCCTCCACTGAAATAGCTACCAGTTTCACCACCAGGTGGCCTATTGGTTCAGATAATATGTTGGAAATAGAGGAAAGTACTTAAATATTCATCAGTTTTATTGGTTCAATTTTCATATCACCCCTTTGTATCTGATAGTAATGCAAATTGAAATGTCGAGTAAAATAAAACATTATCTGTCCAATACAAAAAAAGATATTTCACTTTTTGTGGTTCTATAGCATTGGGATTCTCCCAGAACTAGAAGTCAAAAAATTAAAAGTACATAAACAATTCAAAATCATACTTCTAGATGACTTTTAAATGTAGATTTCAAATATGACATCACTTTGACTGAATTTTGAATATCTAATGACGTAAATCACATTTTTTATTTTAACTAGCATCTAGTCTATTTAATTGGCTAATGTAAACTTTCTTGTTAAAAATGAATATTCCACATTTGTTGAAGTTACTTGTAGAAATTTCGTATTCTCTTTCCATCCCAATTGTCCAATAATAAGGTGTGATTACCAGTTTAACCACTTGATTTTGTATCATTTCATACATGTCTATATTAATCCTTATTTAGCACTTTTTATTATAAGTTTGTGACAATTTTCCAGGGAAGGGCTATAGTATAAATAGTTAAAACATATACTCTCAGATTATTAATTTTTTTTATACCACTCTAAGTCCAATTACAGTTGTATAACATGGGTCTATAACAACGATATACAGTGGAGAGTGGTATATCGTCATCGTATACAACTCCTACGTATACTCTCCAGCGTTCTGGGAACTAATGAATAAAAAAATCATGACATTTTTCACGGTTTCCTAGAATCAAGTGACGTCATAAATGGTTCCGGCATGATTTGCTAGAATCAAGCCACGTCATAAATGGTTCGAGATCAACATCAGCATTATTGAGTTGGCTATGGGATATTTTTATGGTTTTTAATTGTTATGATTGTGTTCGAATCAACTTAGAGTGGCATAATAAGATTATATAATGGTTCATTCTGTATATCGTGCATTTTATACTCTCGTGAGTATATAATATATTCACTCGTTCGCTACACTCACTTGTGAATATATCATAGAATATATCATATACTCACTCGAGTATAAACACGATATACAGAATGAACCATTATATAACCTCATATTATCTTACTTTACATGGATATGTTATCAAACAATTTTAAGATCTACATCAAGTTTTCCATTCATTTCTTTGTTACAGGAAATGGATTTGCTGGTTTTGGACCAGAGTGTATTAGCGGTAGCATTACTTCTGAGAGGATAATACATTGGGACTGTTGGGGCAGCGGGCGATGGCAATGAGGCAGGGGCCTTTTGGAACCGCTTCTATAGACACATGGCCTACCACCAATTCGTCCTCTGGAGACATGGGCGCCTTACCAGAGGAGAGAGAAAGGTGATCCCTTCATGTGTAGTTCTTAAAATAAGAGCACACTTTCCAGCAGCCAATGGCAGATACGTGGGCTTTCTTCCAAGTGAAGCAGGACTTTAAGAAGCATATTTGTGGCTTTGTCTCGCAAAATTATTGTGGACCATATTTTAGCTATATAAATAATTTCAGGTGTTCTGCATTGTAAAAAGTCATGTCCATGAAAAGTGTAGTAAATGATATAATTTTGTTACAAAAATCTGCAAAAAATATATATCTTTTTTTATTTTCAACCATTTTAAATTGATTACATTTATTTGTCCATTTGTCTCTCAGTCAGTCAAAAATGTTTTAAAACCAGGGTCGATAAGATTCCTGTTTTAAATTATTTTGGTTCCTCTTCATGTAATACAGAAGTCACTTTTTGTCAATTCAGTGGCTTGTATAACTGATTTCAGGTGTCCTGCATTGTAAAAACACATGTCACTGTAAAGAGTAGTTTCATGAAATAATTTTCTAAAAGAATTGGTAAAAATTTATATCTGCCTTTTTATTGTCTGCCATTTTAGCCATCGTTAACTTTTCTTGAGCCCAGTACCCATGGTTCTATTTATTTTCTAATTAAATCTATATGTTGGTATTATGTTACAGTTAATACTCTGTTGCATAAAGCTAACATCTACATAGTTTGTGAAAATGTGAGTTACAGTTATAAGCAATTATTGACACATTTGTTTGATGTTTTACTTAGTTTTTAGATGTTCAGGAGATCTAAAGATTTAGTCATGTGAATTTTTATGAATGACTTTCAATTAAGACATGTGTATGACCGGCAGATCAATTCACAGTAAGCAATGTAAAAAAGTTACATGTATTTGTAAAGTCATAAACAAATAAATAAATTTCCATTTACTATATTTATTTCTTGTGTATTCAAATCTCAATATACATTTGGTACATGTGGTACAAACTTATGAGCAAATATATAATTTCATCTGTTTTTATATTTAAACTGGTTACTCACATGAATGCTATCTGTACAAAAACAAAAAAATCTATTTATATGTGCACTACATAAGACTAGATAATGGCTGACAATGTATATCCTGATTTTCAAACAAAATCATTGATTCTGATTTGTAGTCTCAAACTTTGAGGAACTTAGATAGAACAGTTTGTGACCTAGGACCTTTCACGTTGAACATTTTACTTATTCAGAGCTCAGTAGGTCTTTTTTTGATTAAGGTGACCAAAATGTATCCAAATAATCAATTTAAAAAATAAACTTTTTGACCTTTCGAAGGTCACTGAAGGTCAAATCTCAACACTAAGGTCAAATTTGAAGTCCTGGCAACTTGTAGACGATTTCCCCCAAAAATATAACTTATTTTTACTGGTTTTTGAATTCAAATTTCTCAAAAACACTAAAAATTTGATGCTGACATATATTGAGCAATATGTAGGGAATGTTTAAATGTAATAATGATGTAATCCATTGCAACTAATGAACAAGTATAGGGACAAACTTTGAGAAACTTGTCAATCACAAAACATGCCATTGACGATATACATGCAAAAGTTCCCTGAAAATGTCCTACTTTTTGTCAATTTTTTAGAGTAAACACCAAAAACTGTAATTTCAAGAGCTTTGAAAACTTCACATAGGCTCACTGTGTCAGCCAAAAATAAAGTTTGACAATGTTGCTTCTTGGGTTATTTTCAAAAATTATTTTCATAATTAATGCATTTTCTGAATAAAGATTTTCATAGAAAAAATAGACATATAGATTCCAAGATAAGCAATTAATGAAATTGACACAGGAACAAATGGCAAGAACTACAGACAATGACAAAAGTTGCATGAAAATCATTTTGAACAAGTGGCCCATAAATTATAATTACTGCTAATAAATAAGGTATTGTTTCTATTGTTAAAGATTAAAAGGTGGATTGGATAGAGTGGATTGTATTCATGTAAAAGGTGGATTTCATCAAGAACATCGAATTTCATTGGGATTTTTTTCTATTTATCCTCATCTAAGAAGATTATTGCTCTCCTCATGTCCACACATGTAATTTTATGTTGCCTGCAGGGTGGCCTAGAAGGGTGACCCTGTACCTGCCCTCTGACAAACAATGTTATACATTAATTCCAGTTGTAATGTTGATGAATTTCAAAAATCACGAGGCTGACTATTTTTGGAGATCCATATCGTCTGTTTACAATAAAAACAGAATAAAGTATAGCACAGTCTTAGCAAAGTGAAATTATGATGAATTTACTTTAACAGTTATATGCACCATCTGTTAATCATGATATTTAATTCGATCTTTATCTAAAATAATTCCACATTTTGTATAATCCCAATCAAATCCACATTTTACATGAATCCTATCAACTTGATCCAATCCATCCATTACAGTTCAATTGTTATATTCTACTTACGTTTCAACAATACAAGCAAAAATGATCCAAATTCTTCATATTTTGGAAATATTTTATTAACACAAAATAATACATTTCACACTTGATCAGATTTTCCACAGTTACGTCCATCTCTTTTAAACGTCTTAATTGTCATGTTTTGGAGAATAGCTGGTGGATTAGTGAAATCTTGATCGTTCCTCTCTAATCCTGCCAAGCTCTGCAGTTTGTGGTGGTACTGCATTATCACCCTTAGCATTATCACCCTTAGCAATATTTTTAGGATGATTCATTGGAGTTGGTACAGGCTGTTCTAATGTCCATTCAAAGTCAAGTCTTCTCTGGATGATATCACGGTTCAGGTCAACAATATATGGGTATCTTTTCTCCACCTTCCTTGGCCTTGCTGTCCATGTGTCTGAGCTAGCTGAGTATGCCCTGTAGTACCTGAAAGAAGAAATAATATCACATTTTGAAATACATAGGCCTAGTTTTTTTAACTTCCTTTAGAATTTTTAAGGAAACACTCTGATTGCGACAGGAAAATATTGAAAATAAGAACTTGTAATAATGGCAATGCACTATGGGAAATGCCCTTTTCATGTTAAGATATGTTTTAACCATTTGGGGGGGGGGGCACATCTGCCCCTTCCCCATGGTTCAATACAGTTACAAGCAGATGGTCATAAGTAAGACCTTTCCAATGATACCTAATACACAATTGCAAGATTGTTAATTTTCTAGATCATTATGGGAGGCAGAAGTACCCCAAAAATAGCATAACGCTTTCAGTGTAAGTATAAGTGAACATATATTACTTGGCCTTCTTTATTCCAAAGTGACTCTCTATTACGATGATTGTTGTGGTCTATTACTGCTAGCTGACATCGTGCCTTGTAGCCCTCATAGCTGTAAGCATGTCGTTTTGATTCATAGGCCAATATGTCGCTATTGACATTCTCCAGTGAACCAGTGTGTCTGTAAGAATATGAATAGATACAGAGTAATACAATAATGAATAAATGAAAGGCCTCAAAATAGAATAAATCACATGTCAAAAACTGTAGATGGGGTACCCTCATACAGGGTTTATTTTCCTTTTTCAAAATGAAAAATAAATCAATTTCCCTAACATTTCTTCTGCAATACATGGACTGGTCACAATTGATAATTTTCAATATTATTGTACAAAAGACAGGAGATGTGTTTGTAGGGCCAGACTACTATTGATAATATACAGATTTCTGTTAAAATTTTTTGATTTATCACATTTTCAATTGAATTTATGTTAAACTCCTTTGTTTGACATATAACTATAGGGTGTCCGGAAAATAAAGATACAAATGCTCTAATTTCAATAGATTAACCTGTTGTGAGATGAAATTGCTACAGATTGTAGAATGAAAGAATAACAATTTATATATCCTGAAGTTGTCATGACAAATTGATTCAAAATGAAAAAGTTATGGTTGTTATGGTAACAGTAGTCCTGGGTATGTGGAGCAGCGTCACAATTATGCTTTATAATTCTTTTCTCCTGCTCATATTATCTTGACACTCCATCATCTGTTGCTATTATACGCCATGATCAAATTATGTACCACAACAGCAAAGCAAGTAGTACTGTTACATTATTTAAGAAATATAGACCGAAGAGGAGGGGTTATATTATCAAATACACCCCGCAGGGCTAGGCACAAACGTTTTCTGTACCCCGAACGACCAAAGGGAGTGAGGTGTTCGAAAGCTTTTGTTCCTAGCCCTAAGGGGTGTATTCAACGATATAACACCTGTTCTGAGGTCTATATTACGATTCGAACATGAAAACTCAGCAAAATGTTTAGAATATTCATTATGGTCAGCCATTACTACGATCCGCCGTTATTACACATTACATGTATTACCAGGGGCTTTGTTCATGAATATACCCCAGGTGAAATGTTGACTTTGTTGACAATTTATAGAAGACGTGAATACAGTCATGTTCGAATTGGTCATTTGACATTACTACTGTTATCCTGTATTATGTATTTCCCAAGATTGTTTAAACATTTGCGGTGCATCTTGACCAGAGATTCAAAGACCTGACAAAAGCGCTACTGTCCATCTTGCAGATTACTGATAAAATTGGATTGCTCCAAGCAGTCTCATTTTCATGTTGACCTTCTAATAAATATTGCTTTAAGATATTCATTAATGTAGAAGTCCAACGTGACATTATCAGGGTAATATGGGCCACTGTACAAAAAAGTTTAATGTCAAGACATTCAATTGAAAGATTTGTTTTCTTTGCTTTCTGAATTGGTGCATTGTTGAGTATGCACTATTGACTTTCCTATTAATCCAGGGACTTTTTCTAAGCACTTTGATTTGTATCAGTGATTTGTATCAGTGATATCATTATACTAAAGACAATATCATTGCAGCATGGATGCAATATTGAACTAAACAAAATATTGATAGGAAATACAATAATAAACACCATTTCAAATGGTTAAATTCTAGCGATTTATGACAATTTAGCGATATCATGGAACTGCTCCGCATACCCCTGACCACTGTAACCATGACAACCTTGACATTCACACGTTTAGACTATATATTACAAAAGTTGGTAGATGTATTGTAATATAGTTCCTCTACAATCTGTAGAACATTAATAAGAAAAACCACAAATCTCTTAAAATTACTTTCCAGACACCCTGCAGGTAGTAAATGATCATAAAAATTTGAAAACCTTACCTGAAATTAACAATATTCCTCAGAGTCTTCAGAAAACTTTGAGACAAGCATGTGTTTCGCAGTTCTGTGTGTGCTACACTGTTGGGCAGAAGCCATTCTTTTCGCCCTCTATCTGCCTCATCTAGATCACCATGGTCACAACGTCCTTCACCCCAGTAGTGTATGTTGCACACATGAAAAACTACACCTCGCCACTTTTCCTAAAATATGGATGACGTGGACAATGAAATAAAAATACAGATTCACATGCATATCAATTTTAAGCATAACAGGTGGGAAACAAATTGTGGTTTTAAGGCCCTTGTGGACTGCTGTGACCATTGGTCTCTGACTAGAACAGTACGTGCTTTTTTGTTATGGTATGGTTACTTTGACAATAGTAATATATTTATGGGTCTCATTGGTTATTAGGGAGTTTTCAATATTACATTTATGATTTCCATTATTTTGCCTGTTGTTTTTTTATTCAGCCTGTTGTGAGAAATTCTCGTGAAACCCCTAAGATTGACATTTAATACTCAACTATCAAAGTTCTTGAAGACTCATTATTCGTTTTTTGCCTAATACAATGTATGGAATAAACTATGATGTAATTTGTGACTTAATTCAAATTTATGAAAAATGAAAAGTACTTTCCAAAGTCTCTATTTTCTGCAGCAACATCTTCCTCAGGTTCATCCTCATCATCATAAGCATTACGTGGTATTACTGTAGACAGTCTTTCTGATGCCTCACGTGAGCATCGTCAAAGAAAATTTATGATACTCCCTATCCAGGGCTTTAATTGCACAATCCTTTTTGTCGCTTATCTGAAATGTCCATAGTTATAATTTAAATGTTCATTACAACTGAACCAAGTTGTAGACAAAATAAGTACCACAAGAAACTGATTAAACAAAATAGCACACTCGAGGCTTAAAACATTATACAGGGTTACACAAAATAGTCGCATTATCATTTTCCAAGTTTAACTAAAAATTATTCAGGTGTAAACTAACACACCCCATAGTATTTCTGAAAATTGCATATAAATCATCAAGTTACATTAGAAATGACCATTCAAGACTGGAGGGAGAATCACATATACTTACAAGAACTAATTTTTTAGTTTTTTTTAGTTTAGCATGCAGAGTTTTTCATAAAAAATTGATGTTCTCCTGCATGCATCATAGGTATTCATGACAAAAAATTGTAAATATGTTAACACAGTGAAAAAAGTTTAGCACAGACAGAAGTGAAGCTAGTAAATGTAAAAATTCAAAATGACGGCTGAGCAACTAAGAACTTTTTCTCAATGGTCAAATAATTGATCATAAGTTAAAAAATGTAACACTTACTCATATCACAAGTTATGGCAATATGAGCATCAGATACAAATTCTTTCACGGGGAGCTGTTCATTCATAATATCATGCATCACCCTTCTCCATCCTATTCTCTCCATATTAGTAGATTGCAGTTGTGCTTCTCTTTTATCCACTATCTGCATATTTATAACAGCATTGTCACCTTCCTCTAACAGAATATAGGTACAGTATTTGGCAGAGTGGCCTGGAGAATCATTTCTTCCATCCCCTAAACAAATCGAAACACTGTTTTAAGATATGAACCTAAAGCATAAACTAGAAAAACAGCACCCTAAATCTAACCAACCAAACAATATGATGTCAAAGCATTAATCATTTTTAATAATACTAGTAGTATAAAATTATCAATATAATTATTGCCCTTTTGTTAAAAATCGACACCTATGGCTATGATATAATATGACAAATATGACGGGATCAAAAAATCTCCATTTTAATACAGCAACCATCTTGAAAAGTCCTTATTGACCATAGTTATATGTACACACAAGCAAACAATAATTTTTGATATGAGAAGCTTATGCCACACAGAGCTTGAGTCCATCAAGCATACAATACTCATTTCAAGCCACCAGAGTAAGTGGAGCAAAATTCAAGTCAATGGAGAAAAGCATACACATTTCAAGTCAATAGAGCAATTAATTAATCTGTTATAAATGCTACCTGCTATAACAAGATGCTCCTTGGGGCACTCCCTAATGGCTTCTTCCATTACATTATTGAACAGGTTGTTTATAGCAGGAACTGAGAAATGCCGTTGAATCCTTTGATGAGTCGACTGATTCACCGTTCCCATAAGCATGTGCCGGCCCATTAATCTAATTTTGGAGAAGTTGTTGCCACTTGTTAAAATACTTGTTGACATGACAAAGTTCCCTAGATTCATCCTGTGAAATGGCTGAGAACACCATCTATGTACAGTGTGGTTATTGTCACATAGCTGAAATGCAATCAAAGGGGACCAAATTCAATAAGAGGTTTCAACAAGGAAAACAATATCAACTCAATAATACAGCTTTTCGCAAAACACAGACTTCTAGTATAAAACTGAGACTAACAACCATGCTGAAAACCTGAGCAAAATATAGAAATACCAAAAAACATAACTGACATTTCAAATAAATATATCAAGTGGTTTGCATGAACTGAAAAGGCTTTCCAGGCAAGATTCGTCAAAGTAATCCAAAATGGCTAGGTTAAAATTGTTTTGGAAGATAAGATGGCTAATACAAAATAAATACTTTAAATACTAGAAAGCAGCAACTCCATGGAGTTCCATATCCCAAGGAACACACATATTTGAATCTGTATTTGCAACAGTGTAATATTTACCATCTACTCTTCCCTTGAAATATAATCAGTATATATTAAAATATATACATTAGAGATATACTAGAATTGCCACTAATTTAAGCATTTTGGTGACCAAGAGTTCCAAAGCCACAAATAATAAAGACAACATGTTTAATATCTAATAAAGTATCATGTCAACGACTCAACAAACTTTCATGACATCTCTAAGTAATAGCGAATTCCTGCTAGGCAGCCATTTTGAATTTTCTGAGGCATAAATCAGAAAAACAATACTATAATTGTGATCTACCTCATATTTCCTTCAATTTGAGTATAATATAGCCATATTTTGAAGTTATCAGAAAATTATTGCGAAATCAAACATAAGTCAGCCATTTTGACTTTAACGAGGCTCAAATCAGGAAAATTTATAATCGAAAGTACCTTTCATTTGAGTAAATTAAAGCTATACTTCAGAATAATATCAAAATTGACACAAATTCCTCTTACCAGCCATTTTGAATTTCTGAGGCACAAATCAGAAAACAATACCAGATTTGATTCAATTTGAGTATAATATAGCCATACTTTGAAATGATCAGAAAATTATTATTGCCAAATTCTTACATAAGGTGGCCATTTGAATTTTACTTGTCCCAAATTAGAAGAACGATACAACATTTGCAATCTACTTTAAATTGGCTTCCGTTTGATTATAATAAAGCTGTACTTTAGAAAGATCTCAAAATTAATGTAAATTCCCCCGGGGGGTCAGGGTGAAAAACCTAAAATATATGTTACATAGATTGATGTTTTGATCAAAATTTCTAACAAATGATATTCATTTCTTTGGTTTAAAATGAACAACTAAAGATTATTGCAATTATTCCCGCCATTTCTAAAGCGGCAGCCATCTTTTAGTAAATATATTCACCAATATACATATTTCCACCAATTTTAAAGGAAATACATCCACTTGTATTTACGTCATCTTCCCAATGGGTGGAGGACCTCACTATATCCCTACCGAACTTTGTGTATTGGGAAATAAAACTATGGGGTTAACCACAGATACTTAAAGCCAACATTACTCTAGTAACCTATACAGAGTGCAAGCAAAAATAAAAGGCTAAACATAGTTCAATTATTTAGAGCTAGCTCCAGACTTCACTTTATACAGGAATATGCACAGAGTTAAATCAAAAGTGCAAGCAACTCAAAGGTAAATACAACTTAACAAAATGCTACAAAAAGTGCAATACAATACAAAAAGGCACAGACTTGATGAAAATAGAGCATCTGGAGTTCACGTGGGCTGAATACACTCTTCCTTACGATCAATCTCATTCAAAAGTTGATTAACTTGTGGTATAAGTAACTTTTCATATACTCAAAACTACTTACCCACTTCAAATACAGTGCTGACCCCCTATATTCACCCCGGAATAGCCTGACTACGGTTAAGTCAGATACCGTTGTCACAAATGGCGGACATAGATCTTTATGAACTGTATGTTTAATAGAGCACCTAGACTAAATTCCTTTGGAACAAGAATCGATCAAAGTGTCTTAATACTCATTGTACAGTTAATTATGTTCTACCATCGAAATAAAGTCTTCAATTTAACCGATCAAAATGAGATACGGGACAACGGACACCGTAATTACCATATGCCATTGTCTTTCTAAATTACTCAAAATCAGATTACGTTGTCATTGACGATATCGAAGACGCTATATTGTGGCGATTCCCGACCCAATTTGATAGGAAATGGGATTTCATATGATACATTATCACAAGAGCTAATGCATGCACAGAATTAGCGAAGATAAAATCCCATGAAATGAGGACCGAGTGATTAAACAGTTGAAGCGACGGTTTTGTCCGCCATTTGTGACAACGGTATCCGTGGTCAGGCTATTCCGGTGTGATATTGTTCAACGTAAACTTTGGATGATTTAAGGCACAGCTTACAAGGACCAATTTTTAGTCTAGCAAGTGCTAAAAATTCATCACTATATGTCACACAACAATCTTCTGCAGCTCCACAGCCAGCATCTTCAATTCTTCGAAATCCACCACTGAAATGTTGTTCATCTATGTCTTCTTCTGGATCATCCTGGAAAGTATCTCCTAAAAGTTCATCATCCAGGGTCTCTCGATCATCAGCCACACTGTTTGCACTTGCATCTGGACTAAAACAGATAAGAAAACAATTTCCCCCATTACAATGCATAGATAAAACAGATAGGGAGATTGCTAAATATAAATGTTTATATTTTTGTCATATCTTTGAGATATAGAGGTTCTTATATCAGTACCTGTGCAAGATCGTCCATTCTTGATGAGCTTTGATAATTCTTCTTTATTGAGTTGAAGACGAGATAAAGAAACATTATCAAAGCAAGTCAAGAATGGACGATATTGCACAGCTACGAGTACAAGA